ACACACACACACACACACACACACACACACACACACACACACACCTAATTTTAAGTAAGTGTCTGACTTCATTTATTAATTCACTTTTTGCGGCGCTGGTTCTGAAAGAGAATTTTTAAAACTGCTTATAGAAGTAAGTAAATAGGTTCAGACTATTTTGTCACAAAAGTAAATTATTTGAAGTTTTATGAAGTTAAAACACACAATAAATACAACAAAAATGTGTACAGTCTTTGTATAATCAGGGATCAGTGTTTCATTATCAATTTCATATTGTATGCTGCTCAGAGCTCATATTACAGCTGATGGTAACCAGAGGCCTTATTCATTTCTCATTTTTGGGATCTTTAAATTAAGTTTATTTCTTGGCCAATCGGTGGATTACCTGTAAAGTATGCGCTAAATCTAGAATTACTCCCATCAAAGGATAAAGACATGTCAATACTTTTCTTTGTTTCATATATGAAATGTGAGACACAATGTGAAGGAGATCCATCGGTTTAATTTTTCCATAATAATTTGAATTCATCATGAAATTAAAATCTATTTTTATTTGATCTATTTCAGTGAAATTCAATTTCAATTTAAAATGAGATTTTGTTCATTTAATTCACTTATTTACATTTTGAATTAATTAAATCAAAATTATACTTAAATTAAACAAGTAGTATAATCAAATCAATTATTTAATTTAATTACATTTAGGTTTTAGGGTAATCCGATTTATTGTATTAATCTAATGGCTTTGTCAACAAACATGTTTTACTTTCCATTTATAAAAATATATATATATATTTACTTTATCATCTATTTACTTAACACAAATCATTATAATCCATTTTGCAGCACAACACCTGGTGCGATTCAAATGGTGTGAACGTTTATGATGGAACTTTATCTTTATGTCGTTTTCTCAGTGTTTCCTCTTAATGTTTCGTTTATAGCTTCACACACATTGACTGCACTGTTGATGTGGACCAAAGGTCACATATCACAAACCAAGTACAGCACAGATAACACACTTGCTGCTGGCCGTCCATCAACCGATGGAGATCTCTCGTCCTCCTCTCCTCTAAAGACATCGAGTTATGCTTCTGCTGTAAACATTCAGTTCGTCAAAACGTTTCTCTCCAAATGTCTTTGAAGGCCGAGTTGGTTTAACATTTCCTGTTACTCCGTGTGTGCTCCTGACCTTCATGTTTCTGTCCGTGAGCTCCCTCTGTGCGTCTCTCAGCTCTCTCTCTCTGGCCTGCAGGCTCTGCTGCAAAGACTCCACCTTCCTCTCCATCTCCTGCTTGTGCTCTCTGATGACCACTTCCAGCTGAGCCAGCTGACGATGACGGGGACGGATTAAAACAAAAAACACACACAAATAAAACACACGAGTAGAGAGATGGTAGCAAAACATATCCTGCAAATAAAATAAACTGAAAAAGGTGTGTGTTGTACCAGCTGTGCTCTCTGTTGGAGCTCCCCCTGTCTCTCCTTCAGTGCATTGTCCATGTCTAAGACCTCGTGAGTTCTGTCCTCCAACTCCCTCTGGGTATCACTGTGAAGCCCACACACACACACACACACTTTAATTCAACAGTTTATCAGAAACTATTTCCAAAAAAAAAACAGGAACTGAGTAACTGGGCGTGTCCTCTGAATGTCAGATAAAACTGGATGTGATTGTTGCAGGGCCAAATGGAGGGAACATGATTTGAGGACTTTCTATTGTTTATTGGTGAATATTTTTAGGTTGACCTTTGGTTCGAGTACTTACAATGTGACTAAAGGTTGACTTGAAGCCATTTAGTGCCTCTTTGTGTGACTGTAATCTTGATTATGACAACAGTTATGATCTTCTTTAAAGGGCTGTTTCTGCAGCTTCATGCATCTGCTAACAAAACGATTCAATCGTTCATGAGTGAGCGTCCAGTTGAGTGCTTGATGTACAATAGCTGCACACAGTGTGTTACACAGCCTATGTCCCAAACCAGAGCATATGTGAAAATCCATCACAGCAAATGACACATTGTACAAGTTCAACCGAAAGTAACTTCAAAATAATAATCAGAAATTTCATATTGTTAAACAGCAAAGGATTTCCTCAGTAAACACAAAGCCATGACATTATTCAGAAGACATACGATCAAAGTGTGAGACTGTAAATGGGACACTGGGACAATAACCAGCTCCATGCCTGTGTGCGTCTGTCGGTGAGTTTGTGATACACATGTGGATATTGTTTCAAACACAGACGAGCCGGACCCAGTGGAGGATCTTATCTGAGCAACAGCACATGGACGTCATCTCCATCCGAGGCTTGTCCCTCGTCCCTGCGTGCAGGATATTTCACATGAGGGCGTAACCTCACCTAAGTCGGACAGTCAGTTTTTCCACCGAGGCTTGCCGCTCATCTGCGACGGTTTGGGTTCTTTGTAGAACATCTCTGAGTTCCTGTAGTTGCTCCAGAGTCTCGGCCAACTCTCCCTGCACCGCCTGAAGCTGCCCCTCCAGGATCTGGGCCCGCTGGAGACAGTTGAGCCTGTCGGCCTCACGGCGATGTAGCTTCTCCTCCAGATCCATCACTGGGAGGGAAAAGAAGGAAAAGACAGAAATGTTAAGAGACAGCGATTCAGATTTTGAAACTGGAGCTGGTGTAGCTCTGGCTTCAATTGTCTCTTCTCTGCAAAATCTAGTCAAATAAAAAGGGAACGAAATCTCCTGCACTGCACTGAAACTGTGCAACATACCCGTGTCACTCTTGCAGTCGAGCTGCCTCTTCATGTGCTGCAGGCTTTCGTCCATTCGGCTGATCTGAGAAATCTTGTCGTTGACATCCTTCCTCAAACGCTGCAGCTCCGAATCTCTAGACACCAGCTCCCCTCGACACTTTGTCATCTCTGATGTCAGGTGACTGCAGGAAGAACAAAGAGAAAAACACATGAAACAATAATCACTCCATTCGCAAAGTGATTAAAAGTCTTAAATGAAACAAATACGCTTTCAGAAAAGGCGTTGCAATAAAGGGAAGGCATGCGACAGAAAGAAATACACATAAAGCTTTAAGCAGAATACACATTGCATTGTTGTTGCAGCATCACGTCCTCACCTCAATGTTAGCACGGCTCCCATCGTAGAGTTAGAGAGAAGGAAACCCCTCCAGAACTGTTAGAGTAGCTTAACTGAGCTGAGTAAACATGCCTTATGAGGGCACCTATCAACAAGCTTTTAAAATGGCCCAAAAATGAAACTAACCAGCAGCACTGCAGAATGCAGAATCAGGCTTATATCTCCAAGTCTCAAACAAGTAAGATCCCCATTTATATACACACATGTATGGGTTGTAGGGGGGAGGAGGGGAGGGCTGCTTCATGCCTACAGACAAATAGGATGTGGTCTAATCATAAGACTGTCTCACAGACCGAGGCGTTTCATGCAGGTCAAGAAGAACAGCATGCTTATAAAAATGTTATGTTAGAAATTAGACTAACAAAAGCCTCGTACAAAGTACAAGTGTGGGGGAAATATTTAAGTACAAATAAACAAAAAACTACTGAAGTGTGAACCAAAGTAATCTCAAAATATTTGGCATTGACTAATATTCTAAATTATTCTTTTACAGCACTGGTGACATAGTTTATGTCTTTAAAATAGTGATAAGTCAACAATAATGGTCCTTATACGTAAACACTTCCATTAACTCAGATTAAAAAGATTCTGAATTTTAACTCCAGTTTCCTTTGTTCCTGAGAGTGGACCGTGAGAGTCCCCGTGTGTACAGGTTTTCTTACCTGACAGACTCAGACAGATGGCTGCTCTGCTGGTTCATCTCCTGCAGGTCCTTGTCTTTCTCCTGGTTGTCCCGCTCTCTGTTCCTCACCTCAGCCTGCAGAGCGGCCCGAGCTCGTTCCAGCTGCTGCTCCAGACTGGACACCTGCGGGGGGACGGGGGGACACACAACATGAGCGTCCATCATTGTTTTCCTACAAACAGAACATCCAGTTCATGCACATTTTTTCTGGACACTGGAAAGATCATAGAGACTGAAATTTAGGAAGACACTAAAGGAACTCTGGTCCCAGAAATTCTAACTTTTTGGAGAGCAACATTGTTTTGTAGTGCAGACCTGACCTACTACTCAAAACAAAAACAAGTACAAGTACACAGACGTTTCTGCAGGCAAACAGATTTCTTGTAATTTGCTCAGATCAGAACTTTGTGTACAGAGAGGCTCCATGTTACTGTCCCTGTACAGCTCTGCTCGCTGAATGGAGACCATTGTCTGAGACTAATTTTGGGAGAATAAAATGGTTTAAGAGAAGATGGACTGTGGCCTCTACAAAGAAATTAAAATCCTTGTGCTCCGGTTCTCCCGTCACCCTCTAAAGAGGCCTTACTGGAAGCCGTGTACACATCACAAAAATGTGTTAGATGTGGGCTCCGACTGCAAACCCAAATAAAACTAAATAGTGGTGTTTATTATCCGTCTGGTCAGAATCAAGCAATTCTAAAAACAAAACAAAAAGTTTCTATTGCTCACTAATACATAAACAATTAACAGAAAGTGGGATAAACAGTCATCAACAGTGGCCCACGGTCCTTGAGTTCTTGAAAGAAAACGTTGTACTTCCCAAACACTTCCGCCACTAGCGTCTCATGCACGGACTCACGATGCACATGAGCAAGCACGAGGCGACGGTGGAGGAAGTGTTTTAAATAGTAAAGTTTCAGTGAAAATGTGTTTGGTAAATATTGAGCATACGACTGGATGAATGAGACTTGGATTATAGAGTGGTGCGAGAGGTTGCAAAGCTGTTTTGATATAGTTTTTCTGTTGTTAAACCTGGCCTCCATTTACTTTAATTCAACAAGGACTTACGAATGGAGCTCATTTGAATTGAGTTGGTGCAAGGTCAATGTCTTGATTTGTTTTCGTGCACTAAAATAGCTCAGCCTGTGAAGTTTTTAATGACATTAGAAGTGAAATACAAACACAACATTCCTGTCTCCAACTTACCTGTTTCTGCAGCTGGCTCTGACTTTCCTCCAGTTCAGAGATGTGAGCAGTGCTCTCGGTCAGCATGGCCTGCTGCTGCTGGAGAGAAAGCTGCAGCTGCAGGTTCTGCTCACTGGAGCTCTGGCAAACCAGAGTGGCCCCGTGGAGCTTCTCCTGCAGAGAGGACACCTGAGGAGGGAGGAAGAGGATAAGCCGGATGGGGGGGGGGGGGGGGAGAGGTAAGATCAAAGGTATGAGTGTGTGCAAATCCTCTTGCAAACAGACGATCTCCAAGCTTCAATGACTGTCTCATTGAATGCAACACTGTACCCTGTGTTTGTTCTTCTGCAGCTCACTCTCATAGCTCTTCTTCATCTCGTCCATCTGCTGCAGGTACAAGTGCAGCTCCTCTCTACACGCCGACAGAGACGACTGTAGTTCGCACACCTGATGCACAAACAGAGGTCATGGATGGTGCTTGGTTATGGTGGAATTCTGCCAGATGTTTTCACACAGTTCAATGTACGTTATTTGTGTTTTATCTACGGTAACCAAACATGTGTACAGACCTTGGTAGCAGACTGAGCCGCCTGCTCTGTGAAACTCTGCAGCAACTCCTCGTTGAGTCTTAATTCAACCTGCCGCTGCTGAAATTAAATCAAAATACAAACAAAGCATACACATGGGTTGAATTATAGTTGTTGTGCCTTTAACTTAAGTCTGAAAATCCTGTTCCTGTGCTTTAACCAGTGAAGGTAGTAACATGCACTGATAGGATCCTACATACTGGTAGAAGTGTCCTGACCTGTGTGAGTTGGTCAACGGAGCTCTGCAGCAGAAGACCTGCGTCCTGAGCATCGTCCCGCTGCCTCTGGAGCGAGCTCAGCTCCTGCTCCATCACCAACATCCGGGAATGAGCCTCCTCCACAGACTGCTGCAACTGCAGAAGAGAGAATATACTCTTACTTACTTACTCCAGGTAATGGTCACAGCCAGTGTTTCTAGGTGCAAATTAACTCAAATAATACCTTAACGTGCATTCATTTGTAGCTAATGAAATTAAGTTTGGTTGAACTGAATTGAAATGAACTGAAGAGCAACAGAGGGCGCTGGAGGTTCAGTTGAGAGAAAGTGAGCGTGACAAAGATGTAGCTGTACATCACCAGTTCTATTCTGTGCTGTTGCTCCGTGAGTTGTTGAGATTGTGATTTCTGACACTTGTCCAAAGACTGCTGGTACTCTCTTTGCTTTTTGGTCATCAGTGACTGGTAATGCTGAACGGTGCTGGTTCTCTCCTGTTAAGAGTATAAACGGTGGATTTAGAGAACACACTCACATTATAACACATGACTCACGTCACAAATGGTTGTGAATCAGGACTAAAACTCGTAGCCTTAGGCAGATGTTCAGTTATGTTCAAAGACAGCCCGACGGTGGCTTAATGATGTTATCAGGGAATAAAAACACAAGACGGCAAAAACATGAAAGAAAAAACAATGTTTGGGTGTGTGGGAAGGAGTGTAGCGATATACCGGTGTTAAAATAACATGATATTAAAAAAATGAAATACTGATATCATGTTCAGAATACTCATGATAATATTGTGTAAACAATCCAGTGCCTCTTCAATTTCTCTCCGTTCTCGCTTTGTCTCCCCCGTTTCCGTAAAAAAGGGTGTTGGGTGTCATTAGACAGCCGAGTCTGCAGGATATGCCGACTGTTCTTTTTGTGCGTTTTGAACAGTTATAGTTACAGACTCTCTCTCCCTACACTCGTATTTTGAGTGCAATTTATTTGCCAGGAAAGAGACAAAACACACACTCTTTTGGCCACGATAATCATGTAGGGAAAACCTAACACAATGATAGCTCAAGTGTGGGTGTTGTACCAGTAGCTGATTCTCCAGCTCAGTGTTGGTCAGTGCAGCTTGACTGTAGGCCGAGGTTTTCTCCTGTAACTGTTTCTCCAGCGAAGCCACGCGAGCACTTTTTCTTTTCAACTGAAGTGAAACAGAGACAAACAAACAACAATCTGTAAGAACCATTAATTAGCTCTCAAGCTCAGTAAAATTGTAAAGAATATTTATAAAAATGATAATAAATACATTATATGATAAATACATTATATATTGTCACTTTTATTGGCTGAGAAGGTTTTTGTAAAAAACTTGAAAATTAAAAATTATAATTTCTCTGAAAAAAAACAGTAATACAGTCGAGCACATAGAAGGAATGTTAATCTACTTCAAGCAGGAAATCAGGTTGTGTTTAAGTAAAGTAAAAAAGATAAATGAGATTATGAAAGGGGGAGGAACATCACCTCTTTCTCTGTGTCAGTGGCCTGGCTGACTTTGTCCAGCAGCTCCGTGTGGAGGCTCTGGTAGTGGGAGGCTCTCTGGCTCATGGAGCTCTGCAGCGAGGAGATCTCCTCCTGGGTTCTGCTCAAACGCTCCTGAAGCCGCTCCACCAGGCTGCTCCGTTTGGTCCGCTCAGCCTCCATCGACTGCAGCACTCGCAGCAGCTGCTGGTAGCCTTCACCTGCAAGGATGGAGCGACGCGGAAAGAAAGGACAGGAATGCTTCGATTATTTACATCATATATTAGTGAAAAGTATACAGTATGTGGTACCTGCATTCAAACACAATTTTCTACTTGTGTGTAAATAAATAAATCACCATGTTGCATAAAGTTTCTTTTAAGATATAAGATTTCTGGTATTTTTTTTTTTATTAAAGTGATTATTGATGTGTATATGTGATAAACATTTAATTAATTATTCAAGCACTAGAAAGGGGTGGAACCATATTAAGTGTACTTCTGTCTACTCCTTTCCAAACATGGAATATTTATTTATTTATTTAGTGAATTGAGAATTTGCTGTATATGTTTCTGTTTATTTAATTGGTTATTCTTGTTTTGTTTTGTTATTATCTATCTATCTACCTACCTATTATCTAATCCATTAATCCATCTATAAATTATTTTGTTTACCTAAAGCACAAAACAGGATGAGTCTCTCATTCTAACTATATTAAATTCTAATAATCCAAAAATTATTTCACACTAAGAACAAAAGAAAGATGTGCAGAAAACTAGTGTATACAATATAATCAAAAAAAGAAATCCATGAGGGGTAGATTTGTATATAGGTATAGATAACACAGAACGTAATCAAGTACACAAGAGGTCTGTCAGCACACCTGGCTTTAGCTTCAGTAGGTGTGCTGTTCCTAAATAGTTCACTGGGGGAAACATGCAGGGCCTGACGCACAGTGTCTCCACAGCACCCTGAAATAAAAAACAACAATAATCATATCATCGCCTGTGCAAGATCAGTGATATATTATGGAAACTTGTTTTGGACAGTTCCTGCTACGACACCAAAAACAGGTTTGGGCAAATGAAAAAACTGATGACGTAACAATCCCTTAGGTCAAACATTATAGGAGAATTAACACACATCTTGTGACACGAGACCACAAACAACAATGTGAGTGTGTGTTCATATTCCTCTCCACCTCTCGTAGATGCAGCAGGGACAGTATGGCCTCCAGGCCGGCCAGCTCCGCCTGGCTCTGCTGAGCCTCTCTGTGGCTCTGGGCATCCCTCTGCTCCTGGCTCTGGGTCAGAGTGCGCAGCTTCTCCAGCTCCTTTCGCAGAGAGGCCAGCTCCCTGAACTCTGCGCCCCGCTCTATAAGCTGTCGTTCAAGATGTAGGACCTTTTGTCCGGCTTCCTCCAGTTGAGTCTGGAGGCCAGCAGCCGCAGACTTGACCTGCCTCCCCTCCTCCTTCAGCTGGCTGGAAGGCAGACGTGGGGGAAGATCAGGGATAAAAAAAGAAAAGGTGTTACCCAGCAAGTCAAAGCTATTTCTTCTGAAAAAATGTGATTGATAATGAGAAACCTCAGAAATCCTCCAATTTACAAACAAAGAAAACAATGTACACCACAAACAATGAAGTGAACAATAATCTCACATACCTAATTGTTTGGCTCTGTTCTACCTTTCCTTTCTCCAACACTGTGCACTTCATTTCCAACTCCTCTTTTTCTCTGTCACACTCAACAAGACTCTCCTTTAGTTTGCTCTCACTCTCCATCACCTTAAAAAAAACATTCAAAAACACTTTTATGGCATCAAAGTGCAACACAAAAGGAGTTATTATAAAATGTATATACCTAAATAATGAACTCCTTCAAATAAATCAAATATACCCTCTTAAGTTTAATAGAAATGGAAGCCTTATAGTCTTTGAAGGCTTCTTTGAGTTTCTCTGCATTTTGAAGTGCTTGGTTCCTTTGTTGCTCAGCCCTGTAAGGGACGAGGTAGAAATGAAGTATTAAAGCAATATTAATAATTAGACATAAAAGATCTGATTATGTTTTTCAACGCGAGGTCAGAGTCGATCACTTCATATAGTTAAATAAAAATATGGATGTACAGGTACCAAACGCAATTATGAGACAAAAGACATTGTAGCAGATCAATTTCATATGATAGACATGCTGTTTCCAAAAATGTTAGAACTGCAATCTGCAGTCTAATGAAATGAAATTGTGTGCAGAAGCCAAGCCCAGATAAAAGAATCACCGTTTGCCCAGCGCTGCGTTGTTCTCCAGCTCTTCTCTGAGCGCGCTCAGCTCGTCAGTAAGAGTCGCCACCAAAATGTCCCCGTGAGCTGCTGCTTCCTGGCTACAGTCTGCCCTCAGCTCTGCAGCCCTGGGAAACAAAGACGAGGACAGTTAGTCAGGGTATTAATGCTCGGTTCAATCAGAGGTTAACAGTTTCAAGAAAAAGAAGGAAAAATAAAAATCATTAGAAGCAATAATCGCGCATGCTCCAGTATTAACAGGAATAGTGTCAAAGGTCTAAAGACAATTCTAGTATTATGAACGACTGACTATGCCTCATAGCACATTACATGACACCAATTCAGTATCCAGTGTATATAAATAGGCATGCAATTGCCACATTAAAATGACATGAATGAACTAAATCTAGAGTAGTCTATGCTGAGGTCAATAGGGTTACTTTAGTTCTGTGGCTTGAGTCTCCAGCTTTGCTTCAAGACAACGAATCTGCTCACTCATGACTGCCACACCGTTTTTAACCCCTATCCTGGGGCCTCTGAGGCGGACCTAAGAAACAAAACACACACAGGATATTTATCCACAACAGCTTCTGTTTATTAATATCACAGATCTCTTTTGCCAATGTCTCAACAAAACACTGAAAAATAATAACTCTGACTTCACACTACTTGCAGCACACAAGATGAAACACAAGATACACTGGTTAAAGATTACACCTTTATCCACCCAAATCATCTGCGTAGGGATGATCGTCGTACCTGAGACTTGGAGGTGGCCAATTCATACTGCATAGCATCGAGGTCACTGATGAGCTGCTCATCCTGCATGGTCAGACAGGCGTTCTCCTGACGCACACAGCCCCCTTTCTTCCTCGAAGAATAAGACTCCATCCCTAATGACCTGGCCTTGAATGAGGCAGGCTGAATAGGGAGGGAGAACACGGATGTGGATGAGAGGTGTGTGAGTTTATGGCAAGGGGTGTGAAGTGGTTTGTTTATTTATGTTTTGGTTATGAGATACAGTTTTTACAGATAACCTACATACATACCCAATGTAAATACACAACAACCTGCAGATGTGGTTTAAGTTATCTACCCTCCAATGTTTTCTGTCGCGGGAACAATTACCAGTTTTAAACTATTGCACACATACAGTATGTAACACGAGACAATGTGATGGGTGATGTAAAGTACATCTGGATGGTTGTTTCTCATTATTTAACTCACAAATATCCTCTTTCTCACCTTAGAGTTAGAGAAGGGTGGGCTGAGACTACCAGCAAGCGCACTTCTCTCAGCCGTCCCACTAAGAGGCCTCTCCTGGCAAACACAGCTTCACTGTGATGGAGGAACATCAGGTGTCTGCAGGTGTATGTTCAGGCAATCAGGACTCTTCTGCTCACCCTCACCTCTGTAATCACGTCCAACTGCCTGACAATAGATTGTGTTCATAGACAAATCAGTGAAGAAGGAATCGAGAGAGGACGATAAAGAGTCAAATACAGCATCATGCAAACTCTTTGTAATGTCCTCAACTGATGTCTGTAGGTTTACTCTGTGGAACAAGAAGTGGTGTTTTAACTGTTGGCTACCAACAGCTGGTTCACTGTGTGAATGTGAGTTATAATGGCATGCAGTTAACGTTAGCTCACCTCAATTTCTGTCCCCCACTTTGCAGACTGAGCTCCGTCAGTCGAAGCAGATTCCTCAAACATTAGCGTAATGAGTACATGCTGACCTCAGTTCATCAACAACTTGTCTTGGCTTGTTGAGGTTAGCTTCCAGTTGTTCAATCAACACGTCCAACGTGTGTATGTTGGGAAAAGAGCAGCTAGCCTAGCTATGCTAAACGTAAACAAAGATGCTCTATATCAACAGGTGGGTAGCTAGTTCACATTATCGTTCTAATAAAAGCCAAATAAGCTACCAAACCACCGGACAGACAACGTTTACGTTAGGAAGAAGTATTAAAATGTTGTCGTCGTGGTCCTATGAAAGCATAGAATTATGTATTTGAAACTTAAAGTTGAACAAAACTTTCGCGGAGACCCGTGTTGGAAGGGAAAGTCCTCGGAACGTTTGTATTTTTAGTCCCCGCCCCACATCCCAACATCGCGTTTCGTGATTGGATAAACTGACGCTGTGTGTTATACGATTGGTGGACAAGGTTGTCAATGACAGAGGCCGCGAACACTGGCGCGTGCACTAACTGTCATTTACAACGGTAGCTTTGGCTGAGGAGGCTCTTGTGTTAAAACAACTACAGGCAGCAATTAAACATATAATAAGCAACACAACAGTCCAAAATATCGGCTTTTATTCATCCTTTAACTAAACAGGTTCAGAAGTATCACGTCAACCTACATAACGATGTATAAAAACGTAATCAGAATCTCAAAAGACAAAGCAGACGTTACATGTATGTTCTTTGGCTACAGAAGCCTGCTGGTAGCCAGTGGTAACAACATGGAGGCTGACTGGCTGAACAGAGGAGACGAGCTTCACATACACCGACTACATCCGTACAATGAAGAGGTATCAATGTCAAAAAGCTCTGTCCATTTAAACAAAAAATAGAAAACATCTGTAAAAAGAGACAGCCGAACTAGATGAATATTTACCTCATGCAACGACATACAGCATATTCGTTTTCCAGTGACTTGTTCTGACTCAGATTAAACCAGCAAGTGTAGCTGTAGAAAAAACACCTTACATACATATGGTCCAAAGTAAAATGGAGGACCGAATATAAAAATACTGACCATTAAACACCGAGTGAATAACTTGTATCTAAACCTCCTGCCAAGCTGCAAATGCAGGCCTATGCAATACAGTGAAGTTTTTGGATATATCCTGAGTGTGTATACTACAAGGTGAACTCGACTGGAAAAGTAAAGATTGAAATGCATTTTTGCACCGGTCACACAAACAATTTAAAGTCAAATGGTCATAATGCTGAAGCGCCCCTTTATCAAGCCGCTAATGGTCCTTAAATCTGACTGAACACGATTATCAAGGACCAACTTGCATAGGCAGCAAAAGAAAACAAAAAACTTCTGAACTCTAAGTATGGAAACTGGGTAAACAACATTCATCTTATGCAGCACTTTATTTTTTCATAACTATCAGCCAAAGTAAAAACAAAATAGGTCCTTAAAGACTTCAGTCAACAGTTAAGTCATTTTAATTGATATCAAATGAAATTGTTTTCAGAGGATAATAAATTTTGACGATGGCAGTTGACACTCGAAACAAATCTTTACTATGAAAACATAATGTATGCATTTCTTTTTAGAATGGACACAATTTACTGTAAGTCCTTCTGAACATTTAAACACTGAAATTACACATCATTTGGAGGTTATTTTTCAGAATCTCGCATTTAAAACATAGAAAGGGGCTTAAAGAACATTACCATGAAAATGCTGCTGGAGCTAAAAAGCTCGAATTATCTGATCAAAAGGGTATAATTTGATACGTGCAACAGATAATAAAAAAAGAAAAAATGCTGAAGAGAAAAAAAGACTTATGAGAAAGGACTAGTGGAAAAGGTAATAATAAGATGTAGTATAATTCTATGTAAAACTAAATATTTGCAGCAGCACATCTCTTCTGTTTTGAGTTGAAGGATATCTCTGCCCAAGGCAACAAGATGGACTTGTAGCTGGGACTGGAGGGGACACTGTTGTAAATAGACATATTTAAGAAGAAAGAAAATAAATCATAAACAAAACATAACTATGTAATTGTCTTTGCAGTAGTGAAATTAATAAATTTCTTTTGAATGGGTCTCTCTTATCCTCCAAGATTTACCATTTAATGCCCGACCAATCACATTCTGTCAAAGAACACGTACAGTTTCATACTTAACTGGTCTGGGAATAAAAAGCATATAACTGGATTAAAAATGAAGTACAATAATGAGTCACTGCAAGCCTACAGATGCAGTGCACGGATCAATTATGTGCCTCTGAATAAACAGGGCTGCTGTAAACATTCAAAGCAAATAATGAAAGTTAAAAGCAGAAAGAACACCACAAATATGGTGTGGTATAATGACAATGCCTTGATCAAAGAACTGTAATCTTTGTAACACATGAGGAACAGACATGTTTAAATGTGCACTGAACCAGTAGACTTCACAGTAACAGGAAAACCTCGCTCCTGTCTAAACTAAACAAAAAGGCATATATCAATGAATGCTCTGAATACAGGCTGTGAACACGTCCTTAGCATAGACCTCTTACAGGCGCTGGTTCAAAGTTAGAAGTGACGATGACAGTGACAAGTCTAGGAGGGAGTGTCTAGGAGGCAGTGACTCCCTCCCACTCCACCAGGTACTGCACCTTGCCGTCGAGGGTGACACGTCGTGCCAGGACTTTGTACTTTTCCCCGCAAGCCAGTCGCCCTGCTGCTCCGAAATAGCTGCTGATGGAGCTCTTGAGGTGGGAGAGTTGGCTGTTGGGGTCCATGCCGTGAACTATATCTGTGGAGTGGAGCCCTGGCAGCGGGCTTATCATCTCCGTAGCTGAGGGGTTTGGGTCTGCATGGCTAGGAGGGGGGATCTCTGGGTTGGGGGGCTGCAGGGCCCGTCGTGGCCGGCCACGTTTCCTCTTTAAGGGTGGAGCGGAAACGGGCACGATGCAGGCCGTCGTTCGCATCTTGCTGGAACTACAGCTAGAGTGGGTTTGATAGGAAAAGAGGAAGTCAAAAAAACTGAGGGCAATAACAAAAACAAGACTAAGAGAGACTACAACGTCTGTACTAGAGCACAGAAGTGCTTTGTGATAAATGCACGTTTACATACTCTCAGAGACAATAGCAACATCCTGATGTCAAGCAGGTAATGTTCACCATGTTAGCATGCATAACGCACTAAAAACAAACTACAGCTGAGGCTGATGGGAAAATAGCTCTGAAGGTATGTAGTCGTAAATTCTTGGACAAATTGAAATCATGACTTGATGGTGGTGGAACAGAAACTTCTACCAAAGTTTGTTAATTTCTCCAATATTTTTTGACATTTCACTCTAAACCACAAATGTCAACCTCATAGTGGTGCTAGAGGAAAAGTCAAGTAATCCATAAAGTCATTAGGGTTCTTCATCTGGAGACCATGCATGTCTGTACAAAATGTCAGCCATTTATCCGCAAATAGCTGTTGAGATTTCAGTCTGGACCAAAGTGGCAGATCAACCGACAGGCAAACAAACCAACAGAGCCCTCCATAGCGCCATCGAGGTCAAAGTGAGGTGCGAGTGTTGAATGTTGCCGTTGACTAGCAGGCATACCTGGACTGTCTTGAAATGCTAGTTGAGGTAGTTTCTGTGGTGCTCGGGGCTCCAATGGATTCCACATCTGAAGACAGCAGAGACCTCTCAGTCCTGGCGTTATGGGGACGGATAAACAACAAATATTATACAAAGAAATGCTGCTGAAAGTTACTTACAGCTAGTTAGTTAATCAGTCATTCAAGGAAAAATCTTCAATGTGAGGATTTGATTCTTTTCTCTTCATTACATCAAAGTAGATTAAACAACCAGCACTTTGAAGACATCACCATGGACTCGTGGGGTGAATCGTAAATGAAAACAGTTGGTTGCAGCTCTCAGAGTACTGTAGCTTTACCACGACACAAGTGAACCGTCATAATTGTTTAGGAATACAAGTTCTACACTACAATTGCTCACTTACTTGATGGAGGTCAAGTGATCCAATGTGTTGGGCTCTAGTGGCAGAGGCTTTCTTATATCCTGTCAAAGACAAGAAAACTATTGTTATCATCTCTCACTGGGTTTCCTAATACCTTTACAGAGTAATGCAAAAACACCCACACCAAGCTTGCGCCCTCTAAGACAATGCGCACAAACACACACACACCTGGGATAAGAGTTCACTGCGTCGTGGTTTAGCCAGAGTCTCCAGAGAACGGGCTCCTTGCTTCCTCTTCCTCTTTGTGCCATTGGTTAAAGTCCTGCAAGCACCAGAGCAATAACATTTCACAACAGTAATGACGGGTGTGCATTAATAACACTATAACTGTTAAGGGGTAGTAACACATTGTGAAACAAATTACAAGGTGCATCAAAACACTGCTTTTTTGCATGCCGTATAACTGTTTCTCATTTTGTGCCATCAGTCCGCCATGAGCAATTCAAATTCAAGAGCTTACAATGAACGAGGGAGATGTCATACCCAACAAATGTAAAAACATTTGACTGCAGAACTTGAGATGTATGTTTCACATCTTACCTCATGCCAGATAGGGTCTTGCATCCCTTGATGGTGATCTCATGTGAAGCCGTCTCCATCCCTCTGCCGGTTTGCTCATCGGAGTTGGGGGGAGACGGAGGGAAACGGATCCTCAGCCCAAATAAGTGCTTCTTTTTCTTAACCTCCTTCCCCGACTTGAAACTGGAAGGAGCATATGAAAAGGTTTTTAAAAAAGTTCTTGCAGGCTATCAACTTAAAGGATAATCCAGTAAAGGAATAGCTTACATGCTACTGTTGTTGTTTAATGCCTCCAGAACATGTCCATATCGCTTTGATCTGGGAGTTTTGGCGAGCTGCAGACGCGGAGGAGGGGAGATCGCCAAACAGGAAATACAGGGTGAAAGACAAAAAGGTTAGGATTCAAAAAATAAATCAACACCATATGGTTTCAAACCCTAATTTGGAATTTGAACTTGAGCTGTATCGACACATTAAGCAGCTTAGAAACAGACACTTTAATATTAAATACTAAGCTACACAAATGTGTCTTTCTGTTTAGTAGAAAACTCAAAAAGAAACTTTCCATAAAACATTAAAGCGTGTTGGTCCTGAATTAGCCTTTGTTGCAAATGAAAGTTAGTGAATAGCCACACGTAGCTTGACAAGTTGTGTCCATACCATCCCCAGCTGCAGGAGCTCCCAGTTATCACTGATGTAAGACATCAGGTGCATCTCTGAATCAAAGTACGTCTTCTTGTGAATCACACTCAAGTTGTACAGGCTCAGGTGTGTGACATTCTCCCTGAAACATTTTAGTAACAGCTGTGTGTTATTCACTTAGTCTGGTTCCAAAAGAACCATCATGAAAAGAGAAATGAGGCACAGTAGCAAAGCTGGAGAGCAAAAACAAGATGCATGCAGTAGGAACTTACTCATAGAATTTAATGTAAGCGGGGGCAAAGCACTACTTTGGGAAGACGGCAATCACATCCTTTGTGTATTTTATCAAATAATATACCGTTTTTAAAGAAGACTATCTGAGTCAAAGCTGAACATACATCTTGAGCTTCACTTACCATGTGAGAGGCAGTCGGCTGACGTACTCTGGTCCACCATTGCAAACGGAACAAATAAACAGATAAAACCTAAAGTTACAAACACAAAAATGCGTCAGCTTATTACACTGCAAAAATGATTTGGTGACCACAGGACAGTCTCATGGCCTGGTGCTTTATGGTTTGCTAAAGGAAATATGAGGAAATGAAAGGAAATGTTACACAATCAATAATACAAGATAACGTGTCCTGATATATAAAAAGTGGCAGTGAAGAACACAACAACAAGGGTAGTGTGATTTCCAATTAATTAATTTCTTTAGGTAGGACAGCTCAGCGTGAATACAGATATATTTTATTAAGGCTGGTCAGAGTCATTTTAACTTTAATAAGGTTTGTTTCACCAGTAAGAGCTGGTAGCATGAAGTATGAAACATAAACATAGTGTTATTTGCACCTGTCTCCGTAGAGCATGGGCATCTGTAAGCAATGGAGACACGTCTCATGGAACCACTGCAGACACCCGTTACACTGCAGCATCTTCAGGTACCAACTTCAAGGACAGAGAAAGAGAGAGAGTCGTTAGCTGTACCGGGAGAGAGGGAACGAGAGATATGGATAGATAGTTATATAAAAATATGGACGCGTAGGAAGTTGTTTATCCTGATTCTGTAGTGTGTTCTAACGTATGCAGCGTGTGACTCACTCTCCTGGACCTCCACAGTAGCAGTAGCGGTGCTGCATGTTAGTCTTGTGGCCCTGGTCCCAAACCAGCTCGTCCAGAGCGTATTGGAGAGACAGGTGCTGCCCCGTAACGTCCTCCTCCTCCTCCTGCTTCAGAAAGCCCTGAGCAGACGCTCCCCTCATGTGTGCAGCCTCCCTCTGTACACCACACAGATAAACAGCATGTTTACCCCAACATACAACTATGTATACACACAAATATATACAGCATTTACTCCATAGATTAAGTTCGCACTCTATAGAGTCTCAGATTTCAATTGTGCTGCAAATAATGCGCCTCACAAAATAGATGTCATGTAAATACATGCTCATTTAATCAAACAACTCACACATTCAACTAAAGGCTTAATTTACTCAAAACAAAAGCTGTACCTTCGGTATAGAAGTGAGCTCACAGTCTGAGCAGAGCCACTTGTCATCCGAGTCAATGACAGAGGCGTCGATGATGGGCGAGTGGCACAGCTGATGGTAGCCTAAAACATATTGAATTGACATTTACTGGATCGCTCTTTGAAAAAGCACAAAATGTGCTTGATGACCACAGATTAGAGTTCAATAAGTAGATGAACAAAGAATGGATAAGTTAGAAAACTTGACAAAAACAACAAACTGCATGCACTGCTTTGTTCAATATAAGAGCTGTAGCGACAATGGACGGTACCTTGTCCACACTTGTCACAAATGACTATTTCATTGGGTTCATCTGACGTTTCATCCTGGCATATAGAGCACACAATGTCGTCGTCCTCATCATCCTCATCATCTTCATTCCCTGAAATGGACAAAAGGCTGGTTGTGACAGAGTAAAGGCAACGAGCACCTCGTGGTGTTTTAAGTCTACAGGGACTTCTTGTTTGATTGGAAGTAGTTCCAACTGTAATTTATCCTGATTGATCAGGACACCGTTTCTTTGGAGACGCATTCATTTACATTTTTTTTTAATGGAATTTAAACGCAACCCATTAACCTCCATAGTATTGGGGGTTAATGGGAGACGAAGGTCTCAGAAGAAACCTAATACCGTGCTGTTGTTCTGTCGCCTCTGTAACTACAACCAAGAGTGATGTGAGGGCGTAGTGATACACTACAAGTACGTCTCTACATCACTGCAGCAATGCGAGCACCGTAACCACTGGAGGTCAGCAGAAAACAAGGCTTTTAGTTTTAATCAGCACTACTACACAGAGTGCGTACAGCTGTGCAGAAACTGCCAGCCACAAGAGAAGGGAGATAAGTAAGGCAGTAGACGTTCAGACGAGGGTGGGGACAGCACAATACTCATCCAAGAATCTGAGCAAAATCCCGATGAAAACTGTACGGAATATAAAGTGCAGATGCTGCCAGGCAATAAAATGGTATACATGTCTTTTAGATTACCTGGAAATGATAAAGGATCCAAAGATCGAAATATAAATCCATGCAACATGTAAATCTTGAAGTTGAATAATTTACCTGTCTGGATATCCTTCCACAGAACCCAAGACTTTGACCGATCCTCAAAAACCACAAAGCATCGCTGCTTTTCCCGATTTATCTGAAGGAGAAAATAAAATATATATATATATCTTCCTAAACGTTATTAAAACCAAAATATTCTACCCAGGCTCATATGAGATCAAATGTTTTGTGTCGCATACGCCTAATTTGGATGATTTTACCAGGTACTTGTGACCAAAACTGATAACTGAAACATACGATTGGAGGTTCGTTAACCTCAGATGTGAATATTTTTTCCATTTAACGGCTGATGTTTTGTAAAATGAGGTGAAATAAAAACAGGCCAAAATGTTTTAAAACTGTTAATACTGGAGTATGTGGTGGTGCTGTGATATAAAAACAATTTCAGTACCAAAAAGGTGTGTTTCCCTCACGCTAACCTTGGCGATTGTCCCCAAGTAGAACAAGCCATCTGACCACCGGGCCAAGACGTCCTGTCCTTCTGTGAACCTGTCAGACATGTCGTCCTCTCCATACTCTCCCCGAGTAGAGAGGCTGGTGGGGGACAAGGACACAGCCTGCTGCTGCCTCTGGGGGAGAGCTCTGTGATGGACAGACAGGTGATCTACAACCCCGGAGTCTCTGGAAGAGGAGGGTGAGATTAACATAAGATGTCAATCTCTGCATATTCATCAGCATGGCTTAATAATACTACAATCAACACTTAAAATCTACTGAAGTACTGCCCTATATGTGTAATTGTTATGGAGAATACAAGGAGATAAGCCTGAAAATTAAAACGCATGGCATTCCCCCTCCAATGGATGCAATCAGGTGATTATACTCTTAATTAGTGCTAATTGGTAATTAACCCAAACCACATGCAGTCAGTAATATAGCTACAGGGCAATGCTGAGTAATTATTTAATCTGTCCAACGTTGAAAACTTAAGTAAACGCAAAGGTTTATTATTTTTAACACGCAAACGTTACATAAAAACACACAATTGAATATTAGTCAAATTTGACAGTTGTATTTGTACAATTAAATACTTGATATCGTTACCGTCTGCTGCAAAACATGATTCATTAATTACAGTTAACGTTAGAGATTTTGCATTTAATTTTTTCCATTTCCCTTTAGCTACTGTCCAGGATTCCCTTTGTTCGGGTACTGAGTGAACATGATCCACATGAGCCACTAGAGACGACAAAGGACCAGTTTGAGAAACCGTTGCATACTAAATGTCTTGTAATATTAAATAGCTAGCGCCCAGGCTCCATTGTTAGCATGAACAACCCACATGCAAAGCTTCGACTCCGGAGAGGTCGCCGACCGTCGGACCCAGCCCCCCACAGGAAGAAAACATAATGACAACAATACCTCATTGGGTCCCCTCAGCTTCTACAACCACTCGAACAACTAAAAAAATAAATATGAAACACCGCTGTTATCCCGCTTCTTCTGTGGTTTTGTTTTAAAAGTGTGTGGCGGAAACTTCTGGGGCTACTGCTTCGTCAGAAGATAACAAACGGTACATTTTCCCCCAGCACGTTCGCCATTTTGGTTTCCCGCTGATGCTCGGGGAGTGCATTGTGGGAAGCGTTCAAACGGCTGCTGCTTGTTACTGGAGGCTGCCGCGGCTACGTTCACCTTTCTTTTTTTTCAAACATTTGAAAATGTAGGCAGGGCATGTAGTAAACAGAGCATATCCGCCCCTTAAAGAAGTATAGTAAAAATATATAGTTGTTAGGGGTCGAACACTGCATCTTTTCTGCAGAATGTCTTCTGTAGGTTTGGATTAAAATACAAACTAGCACCATATGCATTAATTATAAACGGCCAGACATTTTCACATAAACATAAGTTATTTAAAACGTCCAGTTGGGCATTGTTTGAAAAGCGTGTGCCAATTACGGATCATGTGGTATTGACGAGTCATTTATTTTATTTTGGTTATGACCGGAAGTGAGGTTGCTATTTAAAGAACGGGCTGTAATTGTAAAATACGTAGCGGAAGTAAAAACAATGATCATGCTTGCTAGCTTGACCCAGTCATAGCTCCAGAGTTAAGCAACAGAACCGATCCTCGTAATGACTCAATTTTAGCGCATCGGTGAATCCAACCTGAAAAATTAAAATAATACAACGTTTTGTAGACAGGTTGCGCGTGCGCCGTTGATCCTACGTTTTTTTTGTTTTTCTCCAAGGCCAGCTTGAGGTATGTTGCTTTGCCTGAAAATCAGCAGCTGCTGCAAAGAGCAGAGGCGCAGGCAAAGTGCAACATCAGAGCGACTCACCAGGACGAGACAACCCGACGGTCCAAGGGCCGTGGATCACAGTGGGGCTCAAATCTGATACAAAATGCGTTCATTTTCGCCTCTTCTGTGAACGAAGACGTGCTATGTGGAAGACGCTCTCCGCTGTGTTTCGGATGATCTCCCACAGCCAGGTCCACGTATTGAGATGATCTATTTCTGTGATGGCGAAGGGTCTGTTTCCACGGGCCTGGGTGAAAAAGTCTTTCTACTTCCAGGTAATATCACTGTTAATTGTCCTGTTAGTCGGATTGTCGTGGTGCACTGCGGGATGTGTTTGATTTGGACCAATGACCCTAGTGTGTATCGTGGTCGTCGTGGTGACACATCAGACTGACAGCTGGCAGCAGCCCCCGGGCTCTTCTGATGGATATTATGGGCTGTTTCCATCTACCTGAGGAATGAGTCTGCTGATGAAACATTAAGTTGATAGTCTTCTTTTTGCTGATCCAGAACCAGAGCAGAACAGAGCACAGGCTATCCACACTGAGAGTGTGGATAGCCTGTGAGGACTTTTTATTTTACCCAGTCCAGGGAGGGATCTCTGTTTGGATTTCATTTGAAGTTTTCTTCTCCTCACATTTGACTGGAAAGATGCCTAGACTCACCTTTATTTCATCACCTCCGATAGTGCCAGAGCAGCAGTAAATCCCTTTGGTTGGATAATAAGGTTGAACCTTCTCATTTGGGTACCAGTGGCTTGTTGCCAGTAACTACTCCCAGCACTAAGGAGCTTACGAAAGAGGACCAGAATACAGGGAAGCTCTTGGGAAGAGTAAACATATTGCTTCATTACATACAGTACAGTCAGCTTAACTTTGGCCATGAGCTACAGTCCGGGGACTACAGTAGAGTTCAGGAGGTTAACATTTAATCTGGCTTCAGACAACACTAGCCAGTGTTTTCCTGCAGCCTCGTGCGCTGGTTAATTCAACCAGATCATCCTCAATTGGGCTACATTTCATCCTGTACTTGTTTGAATAGTTCGTCTGCCAAACACTGCGTGCAGAAAGGGTTTCTTTTAGTCCTGAGGTGATCTCTATACATAGAAAAATAAATTAAAGTATACCTATGTTTTTGGCCACACTGGTTGTGTGTTTCTATATTTTGTTCTGTAATTAGTTTGTATTTGTGTATTGTGTGGTTTTGGTGCAGTTTGATTGTTCAACGATTTGAAACAGTTTTGGTTCAGTACATTCAGTGTTGGTCTGATATTTGTGCATTTTGTTGCCTATTTAGCTTACTTTTAAAAAAATGTACAAATTTGCCTTTATATTTAGGTAAACACACCAACATAATGCAAACTCTGATACCAAATTTAAAAGGAGTGTTGTTAGAGGACTTGCTGGTTTATGGCGACACACCAACATGTGTTGGCAGAGGCAGGGTATCCAGGTCTGTTACGGGACATGGAGTCTGGTTTGTATCCGAGGCTCCAATAAGCAAGTCTACAGGGTTATCTGGATCCCTTTGCAGAGTAAACCCAGAACAATGTTGCTTTTCTTCATCAGTCCATGTTTCAGATTTGAGGGGGTTCTAGGTTTTAGTTGTACTAAGCTTTGTCAAAGTACCCGAGTTCAGTTTCGGATTATGTGAATTTCTTTCTTTCCTGTTGAGTCTCTTTGATACTAACATTGCAGACCTCAAGTGCTGTGAGCTTTGCCCTGTTTTTGGGACGTCATCTGTAAAGGTATTTTTTCATTCTTGGATGGCATCAACCATCTTCTATGCAGTCGTTCTGCTGGGGCAGCGACACCTCGACTGCAGACAGGAAAAGCTCAGTCCTGAGGAGTTCTGTGGACTCCATAGAGGACGTAGAGGAGAGAAGGACGATGGGCAATACATCCCAATCCCTACATCTATCTATCTATATCTATATATATATATATATATATATATATATATATATATATACCGCTATATTATGCTTTGTACAAGTATTCAACTGCTTTTTTGACACTTCAGTCCCCTGTGTGGGATCAACTAAGTTTATCGAATGTTGTCTTAGCTCAGACAAACACCACATATTAGGTTCCAAGGACAAGGAGACGGTGTAAGGACCCAAAGGGAGTAAGTGAAGGATAAAGCTCTTTGTCGCTCGGGTTTCACTTCTTTAACTCAGAGGCTTCAATCATGTGTCTGCACAGACTGAGACACACCGCCATACAGACGACGTGCACACATGGCTTTTTATCCCCCCCGTCATATTGTCTGTGTGTTTCATGCACAAAGATGTTCTACGTACAGGCGTAAGCAAAGGAGTCGGTTCAGATAGTGCTGTGTAGTAGATTTGTACTCCCCAGATAACTCCAGTTCCCTCCACGGAGGCCCGCTATCTGTTTGTTCATCTCCTCAGGACACCGCGTGTTTAAAAATCTACGCAGCTGGACAGAGGAGACTACAGCTCTAATCGCAAACTGCTGTTAAAGCTCTAACGCCTGCTGCTGCCGTTGGACAATTTGGTGAAATGCACCAAAGGAAATGTGAGGCAGGAATTCTTTTGGTTTTCCTGGAACCCTCCCTGTGCTTTTCTTTGAAGTCTGTAGCTCAATGTGGGGAAGTGCTGCATATTTTGTGCGAACAGATTTCATGAAAACCTCATTTGTGGTTTATATCAGGTTTGTATTTTTGGGGGGATTTTGAAACTGTTGCGGAGCAGAATTGAGAGGAAAAACAAACATACACAACACAAAGCTGTCCCCGCCATGTGATCTGAGTGAGAATCAAAATCTCTTTATCCTCCCAAGTGCAGTTTCAGTCCTCGGAAGAAAAACTCTCTGCAGTTTTGTTTTAGTAGAAGTCTCCTGCTGGGGCTTCCAACCACTGTTCCGGATTTGTTTTACTTGCTCACATTGCAGTAGTCACCTACTGCTCAAATATTGATTTTTGATTTGTCAATCGACATGATATAATATTGATTTTTAAACATAATTGGAAGACTGAGATGTTAAAATATAGCACTTTTACATTGGGCTGGCATTACTTTCGATAGGAATTCGTTTTTTGGACGTTTTTGGACAGTAAACGCCTGTGAAGTTGATTTAAAACACTGAAATAAATCACTGAATGACATGCAGCTCTCATGGATGTACATCCTCTCTCTTGTCTTCAGACCTTGTTCTGTAAATCTTAGGTTTTTTTTTGTCACCTATACATTTTTTTTTTTTTTTCTTTTAGGAGTGAAGAATTCTGTGTTGATATCGTGTAAAAAAATAAGTCCCTGACTGCATTAACCTGCACCGTGTCACAGAAACAGAAGCAGCTCTGTCCACACAGACACGGTGGGACATGTGATGTGTGCATCATGTGACACAGGCAGTCATTTTAATTATTTTCATGCCAGAATAGCATGTGACACCGGACCATTTTGATCTGCAGCTCCAAACCAATTTACAGCTTAATTAGCTATTGTTGCACATGGCGACTAATCAGCCACTTCTTTGTTTTTGGGCCACCCCCCATGCTGTCACCATGGTGACATATTATGTGATCAGGTTTGATTAGGGAGTACACGTCTGGCTGGAATCAGCATACTGTGCCTGTATAATGTGGTTATACAGGCAGTACATCGACTTGAACATTTTAACGTGTGTGTGTGTGTGTGTGTGTGTGTGTAAGTTGGACTTTACTTACTTGTTCTTAACTGTGAGCCTGGTATAGTTTCAGGCTCTGGATCAATTCATAAGAGTTTCTGTTTCTGCTCGCCCTCCACAGGCTCGGATCTCCTTTGTACGGGTGAAGTACCTGTTCCTTACATGGCTGACTGTGCTGGTGGGGAGCTGGGTGCTCTATGTGCAATACTCCGCCTACACAGAGCTGTGCAGAGGACACGAGTGCAAGAACGCCATTGTGAGTAATGGCTCGGTTTGTTTTGACCCTGTTGTTTTCAATGATTTGTTTTTTTTCTCATGGTCTTTTATTTTGCAACTACCACAGCATGAGGAACACCTAGCCTAAGGTTGCGTCAACCTCAGTTATTTAGAAGTGGTTGCTGTTTGAAAATTACACAAGTAAACCTCAAGATATAATCTGATTTCTGTGTGGCGACTAAAACGTGTTGTAAATACCTCTTGTGCTCTTTGTTTAAGATCTAGAATAGTAATATTCCCTCAGATTATCAAACACACAGGGTCTAATATAATGGATGAATATAATTAAAGAGTTCTAAAATTAAATCGCACTTCTCTACATGTTCTGTCTGTCTCCAAGTGTGATGAATACAGGAAGGGAATCATCGATGGTTCAGCCTGCAGCAGTCTGTGTGACAAAGACACGCTCTACATGAGCAGGTGTCTGTCAACGCTGCCAAACAACCAAGTAGGAAACACACTTTTACATTTGGTTAAAGTTGTGATTCTACCACTGGCTGTTTTCAGCATGTTTGCTGTTTGGCGTTCTGTTCGGCAGGTGTACACGGGAAGCTGGGGAGACCACGATGGGATCATCCGCTGTAAACTGGGGGAGGTCGTGCACTACGAGCTGGGTGAGGAGCCGGAGCCACGGAGAGAAGCCCCCGTGTTCGACAAGCCCACCAGAGGCACATCGGTGGAGAAATTCAGAGAGATGGTCTTTAATCACCTCAAGGTAAAGGACTCGGAGAGGTTCATACAGAACCACATATTTTAGTCTGTGGCATGATGGACTAAAGCCTGGAACAGCCCTCTTCAAGTCTCTGTCCCTCTCTCTTTATCCATCAGTCCAAGCTCGGAGAGCAGGCTAATCTCGCCAGCCTCGTCAGCCAGATCCTCTCTGTCGCTGATGGAAACAAAGATGGACGGGTGTCACTGCCAGAAGCCCGTTCTACATGGGCCCTACTGCAGATGGATGAGGTATATTAACAAGCCGCTGTTATCTGTGGCACAAAATATGTTGTTTTTGTGTAAGATGTCTCTGTGAAAAAGTGTCGGCAAACATGAAATCACTCGAGCTGTTTGGGGAGACTAAATTGTGCTTTTTTTTTTTTTTCTTTTGGAGGTGCTGCTGGGCCTGCTGCTCCAGGACCGTGGACACACCCCTCGCCTGCTGGGCTACTGCGGGGACCTGTACATGACGGAGCGAGTCCCCTACGGGCCCCTGTATGGTTTGTCTCTGCCCTGGCCGCTGGTGTCCTGGGTGCCCAGCAGCGTGCAGCGCACTATAGACCAGTGGTTCACCCCCTCGTGGCCTCGCAAAGCAAAGATCTCCATGGGCCTCCTGGAGCTGGTGGAGGACATCTTCCACGGCACCTACGGCAGCTTCCTGATCTGCGACGTCGCCGCGGCGCACTTCGGTTACACCGACCGCCACGAGCTCCGCCTGACCAACACCCAAGCGGTGGTTCCCGAGGACGAGTTCAGACGCACCATGCGGGTGCTGAAGTGCGAGACTGATGCCGACTGCGTGTACGGGGTCGACTGCCAGACATCGTGTGACGCGTCGGAAAAGCGGTGCAGGGAGGAGCCGGTTCAGCCAAACCTGGCAAAGGCGTGCGGCACGCTGAAGGACTACCTCCTGCATGGGGCGCCGTCAGGGCTGAGAGAGGAGCTCGAGAGGCAGCTGTACGCCTGCATGGCTCTTAAGGGAAATGCTGGACAGATGAACATGGAGCACTCGCTCATTCTCAACAACCTGAAAGCTCTGCTGTGGAAACAGATCTCGCACACCAAAGACTCGTGACGAGGAAGTCCTTCGGAAATCTCGGTTTCCACACGTGAAGCTGAGTATTAAAGATGCTGTGATTTTAGGAATTGCAATTTTAATTAATTAATTTAAGTAGTTTCTATCCACTCCTAACACTTATGATCAAGCTGATGGAGACTCTACTTCCTCTGCCCCAGTGTCAGAGGTTAAATAAACTGAATGATTGCATGTTCAGAAGAGTTTATGCAGCCACATTATTAGTCCTGTATTAGTCACATTAGTGGGATGTTTTCGTGGGGCACTGCTGATAACAGATTTACTGTTACTCTCAAGAGCTGAGACCACGTTGCTGTTTTGTTTTTTTTGCCACAAAATCATTCAGATATTTTGGAGATTGAAAAAGCAGAGTTGTACAAAGCTCCAGTTGGCATTATTTTAAGATGGGCCCATATATTTTGTTATGTTACGGTTGCTCCTGAGCATCATGGCATAATAAGGGAGTGTACCTCTTAAATGATTCGGCAGTTGATATTCTTGTATTTTTTGTGTCCAGCAAATTCAGTCAAAATACCAAAACCAGCAGTGCATTATTTTATTACTCAGTACTGTTGGATTTTCAATTTGTTTTTTTTAGTTTTTTTTTTTAGTGAAGAAATGTCGCTGTAGTTTTTAGCAAAAGTTACTCAAACAGGAGTGAATAGTGTAAACGATTCCGCTGCAGATTAATTCACATTTGGTGCACTGATTGTTTACAGCAGCAGGACACCGTTTGTGGCATCGACTCAGAATAAACTACAGTGCGTGCGTTCATCATAATAAAGGAACATGTCACGCTGTGTGACAAACTATTTTGGGCTTCGGCTACACAAGCTGTACAAAACTAATACATTTTTGATTTGCTCCTTTTTAGGGGTATATAATCACCCTTTCAAATATAGACCATCACCAAACTACACTTTGAACAGGTGACAAATCAAAAGGAAAAAAGGCGTTCCCTTTGATTGTCACTCATCTGCATAATAAAGTGAGGCAGTTTATCAGCTTCAAAGTAGACACTGATCATCCTGTATCAGTGTACTTCACTCCGCTGTAACACTAGTGACATCGTCAATGCTGCATCAACAACGAGGAATATCGATGTATTTAAGTTGTGAATGTTATCTTGTATATTTCTCACTGAAAATAGCATTTGTGGTAATGTCCTGTATTACATTTTCTGGATTTTGTCTGTGCCATAGAGATCCAGCTGAAGTCATTTATGAATGTTCACCACCGTCGACGGTGGAGATTGTGATCGACTCCCGTGGTCACACTCGAATGCTGTATAAAGAGTGTTTTCCATGATTCATTCCAGACATTGCCTGTTGTGAAGTTGCTGTGACGGAGTTGACCTGACTTTATTAACCACTTTAAATGCATTTCAGAACAGACGTGACCTGTAAAGCATGTCGAGCTCGTGGTCAATGCTGCTGTTTGTTTTTACTTTGAAAATGTAAAAAAAAAAAAAAAAAGTTTACTTAGAGACCAGCATGATTTTGCACAATTAAATGTCACCAACTCATTAACTCTGCTCAGGTCTGATTTATAATACACCACACTGGGAGCTTTTATCACACTTTGAGTCATTTAGGTTGAAGATTACTGTAAATATTAGTCATGGCTGAAATATAAACAAAAGCAAATATGCAGATAAAGTTCTTTAAGTGCATGCAACCACTCAACACACAACTATTGACAGAGACAAAAACTTGAGTTTGAAATAAATTTATTTGTCTGATGCGTGTGTTGTCGCAGCAGAGCGCCTAACCGTCCTCTGCCTCTTGTTCTTGCGCTCGTAAGAAGCTGGCCTTCTTCTGGGCGACGCGGTCCTTCCTCTGTGCCAGAGATAACTTGGCACGATTCCACCTGCCCGGAAAGAAAACAACAGCAGCTCCATTAACATTCAGCACAGGAGGAGAGGTTTGTCCACTCAGCACGCTGGGAGCTTCCCAGTGCCGATATTCAATACTTAGACTTTAAACCGTTATTTTCCCAGGGTATCTATAATGTGCAATCAAGGAAATAAGAACCCACCTCTTCTTCTTGACATCTTTTGTGGGTTTCTGTACGTGGGTGGGGTTCGCTCTAATGCCGGCATGTGCTTTTTTGTACATTTCTTCAACCTGACAAAGACAAAAACAGCCCACATGTTAATGCACCACGTCTACGGCATTTCACTGTGCCCAATGGTTCGTCTCGCTTCTCTCAGCCCCGTCTTGAAAGGACAGTAAGCATCAGCTAATGCAAATGAAGGACCAACTACATTTTGCTCAGCGGGATTTGTATCATCATCAAGAAGCAGAGAACCGGCAAACAGTCGTCGAATATTTGACAAACAAATCCAGTAACAACAATTGTGATCAAGATATGTCCGGCAACATTCTACAGTATTAAGACACTTATTACTGCTCTCTGGTGGACAAACTATGTAATGATGCAGTGTTTCTACTCAACTTCAAACATATTGCAAGACTCTCTACTGCAATGTATTACTTATTGGCAAACTATACACCGATAGATACACCTTCAATAAATTAATATCAGTCAGCCCTAAAGGTATTAGCTGGGCTCTAACAATAACTGACATCAAATCAACTTTTTTTTAAATTTAATTACTTCAGGAGCAGTGATGTGCATCAATTGCAATTTTCTTTTAAACACTCGCCCACTTGCAGGCTAATTTATGGAGCTAGAAAATGAGGGGAGTCTCACAGGATGGACGAACTTCAGTGCAGCAACTTCATTTATGATATTGGCCCCGACATAAATTAAGAGAATTTCATATTAAGCAAATCTGGCCGACTAGGTTGCACCTGTGAAACTGTGACTAGAGATGCTTCACTGCGTCTATATTGTGAGAGAGGAGCCTTCATCTTACTGCGTCTGGCGTGACTCCGTTCTTGATGAAGCGAGAGAACTGTTTCTTGTAGGCGTCCTCATCCTCCTCCATCAGGTACGACATGTAGTCGGCCACGTTCATGCCCATGATGTGCTTCCGGTGCATGTCTGCGTTGAATTCTTTACTCTCCGTGTCGTAGCCGGGGAAACGTTTTATACTAGAAACAAGGCAGAGCAGAGATACCATCAGGTTTGGTGACAGAGAATTCAGCTTTCTTGTATTAATGTAACCATTTCTGATGAATGTTTCTTTCTTCTAATCATGTTCCTCCTCATACAAAACGATCACACTGTGATACAATGAGGCGCTTGCTTTGGTTCGTCTCGCTTCTCTCAGCCCCGTCTTGAAAGGACAGTAAGCATCAGCTAATGCAAATGAAGGACCAACTACATTTTGCTCAGCGGGATTTGTATCATCATCAAGAAGCAGAGAAGAACCAATAAACCACGACTGGTCATCGACCAACCGCGCAAAAACTATGATTGGCTTTACGGAAAAAGAAAACTTGTGTCCTCTTTCTCGAAGTGAAACCACACCACTAGTGGAGAGGTACAATATAACCTAAGATAAACTGGTGCTGTTCACGTTCTCATGCTGACCTGTGGGGAATGGCCAGCCCTCCGTCTACGGCCCCCTTCATCGCTCCAAACACCTTGTTCCCTGTAGTGGTTCTGGCGAGGCCTGCGTCCAAGTAACAGGTGAAGGCGCCCGGCTGTCCGTCAACGCTCTCCACGTTGAACTCATCTCCCGTCACCTCCACCTGGCCCTCGTACACCTGGTCCATGCCAAACTTGTGCAGCAGCTAAGAAGAGGATAAGAGAAAACGGTTAAAAAACATGACGACCACACTCTTTCAAAATATGACACAATGAATCTGAACTTTGAAATTGCTGTGCGAGCACAAATCTCACTTTCCTATTCATGTGCTGACATCAGCAGCTTTCTGTGTGTGTGTGTGTGTGTGTGTGTGTGTGTGTGTGTGTGTGTGTGTACACTCTTACCCGGCGAGCCAGCAGCAGCCCGGTGCAGTAGGCCGCAGCGTAGTTAGTAAGGCCCACTGTGATGCCGTATTTGGCCAGCTCGTGAGAGTATGCAGCGCACACAATCTGGTCTCCTTCAATCTTTGCATAGGCAATCTGCACGAGAAGGCACATTGGGTTAGTCACGTCATGTTTAATACGAGACCACGTCAGTTTCTGCCACCTTCAATAAGTCACTGACCTGGCAGCAGATGTTCCTGTTGGATAACCGGACGATCATTCGGTACTTGGGCGTGTTGTACTTGTTTTTGTCCTGCACAACCAGGCGCTTCCGGGCAAAGAAGTCAGTCTTCCCCTCTGTAGAATTACAAAGAGTCAATGATTTACGTTTAGATTGATTTAAACACGAGCATGGCTTCATGGTGCATGGTCACAATCAGGGTAATGAAACTGGTGTGAAGATAATATAGTCTCACCTCTTCTTCTCCTGAATTTGACTTGATATCTCCTGAAGTAGGACTTGTTCTTCACCACTTTGACGAAACCCTTCGAGGGAAAAGATGAAAGATGGTACCGTGCAAATGATAATCGAAAAAAGGCATCATGCGAACGAAAACAATGTTAACACTTTTAAGCGCCACTGTGTCGTTATAATAGTATTCATCTTGAGCTTGGTGTGAGTGCTCTGCATTGTAAGTCTGAGGTTTCGTCAGCCATGGAGGCGCCACGCTGGAGCATTGACGCTCACCGGTCGAGTTCGACAAAACAGCCACAAACATCCACAAACATCTGCCCCCTCAGACCACTAAAAACACTTTTCTACCATCCAACACATCTCTACACACCATAACCGCCTACACTGGATGTATATTAAACATTTTAACTCACCATTTTTGAGCAGATTTTGCTGCTCTTCCTCCTTGATTCAGATGGGTCTGATAAGTAGCGGAAGGTTGACTTGGCAACGTAACTTCAGTAGGATGTCTCGTGAGCACACAGCGCCCCCTGCTGCCCCGGAAGACCACACGAAGGAACCGACAGGGGGCAGCAGCGACACACACACAGGGTTCACTCACAGTGATTTAGCGATTATCAAGTTATGATAATATAATACAATATAATGCACATTGTTGTATAACTTCTTGAAATGTTCATGGTAAAAAAAAAGATTCAGAAATCTACCAAATAGAGAAAAATGTGTGTTGGCCTTTGGAGTTGTGTATTTCTAGAGCTGAAGTCAGGCCATTACATTGAGTCAGTTTTTATCAGGTATTTCCAGTTAAGTAATGATAGCAATGCCAATAAACTTATATATAGCACATTTTACACAAGAAATGCCAAGGAAAGTGTTTTACTAAACAGATAAGAGCGGACAATTTAAGTTTATATTTAAATACATTTGAAACAAGGATAGAGGTAAAATTATGAACCGTTGAAATAAAGCAACTTCCATGAGCATCGTCTCAACCAGTTTGGGGTGAGTTCATGAATGCATGAATAATGAATGAATAATTAAAATGAATTAATGTGAAAGCTAATGCAGGGACTTTAAATCAGATTAAATTAGATTAGAATAAATGGTTTGATGAAAAATGTCCAATTCCAAACATGTCACCTGATCGCACTCAGCGATGATGAGGCCAATTTGCTTTCAGACAACTTGACACTGTGCAGGACAGATTTGCTGATGTATCATCCATCCGTGTTGTGAAATCAAGCTATTCAAAAAAACGGATGATGATTTGGGCCGGAAAGTGTCTAAATGATGAAATCGCTGAAGCTTGGGTGGATTTTAAATGCAGAGAGAGGTCACAATATTTGACTCTTGAATCAGAATCTGAGGCAGATTTTTGTCTGAGCTATAGCCGCCCACCTGCGCAAGATGTTATCTCCATATCTATAAAATCACTCAGGATATTTACAGCTCATTTATTGAAACCATGTATGTACGTTTGTAAAATGTACAGATTTACAGTCCAACAGAGTTTATAAAACTCCCTCCAGATTAAAAAAAATTGACTCAAGCTCCTCTGAACTTTGCTGGCACAGTAAAGTCCTCCTGGATGTGAGTGCTTGATTCAGTATCAGTACTTATGAATATTATTCTCTCACTTTGTCCTGATGTTGTATTTGTTGGATTGGAGGTAGACCTACTATACGCCTCATTGTCGTTTAACGGACACTTGACTTCCAAAACCTTGTAGATATGGAAGGAAATCTACTTTAAGTGATAATAAAGGTCCTGATAATTTGGGATCCATTAGAGAATTGCCTTTCAGTATTACAAATTAGATACGACCATTACGTTTCTTCTTCTTCTTCTAAAATTTTTCAGCTATTATTTCAACATGCGGTCAGACATCTATACTTCTATATTACATTAGCACAACCTGGACAACTGCCATGATATCACACCAGTGTGACTTATCCACTGACGGCACATCCCAACTGAGCTGACATTCAGCAGCAGTTAGTAAGAGTGACACGAGTAATAAAAACAGTAAAGGTAACATGTGTCTCGCACTGCTGGTCCACCTATTTCCAAACACCAGACTGGGGTTGCTGCTGATTCACCCATTGAACTCTGCTGTGATTAATATGAGCGATGAGCATCATGCTGTTGGTGTCATTCAAAGGGCTCAGCATT